TACAGTAAATAAAGATTGCATACAGAAATAACTGATCTCTAATAGAGTAGTCTTTTATATTGAATTTCTGTACTGCAGCAAATGGAAGCGTGAACTCTGTGTGCAGTAGCTAGGCATGGATGCAGTTTAACATTCAGTCTTTCTCTCTCTCTCTTTTTTGAGGGTCTGGATGTAAGTGAATTGTCATTAGCCTAACTTGAAACCTGAAAATAGAGCTGTGATCTGTTTCTGAGTTTCTCATTAATCTGTACACACACAAAATAGGTATAAACAGGCTCTCTTGCAAGCAAGAGTTAAATTTTTGCCTTCTGAGTAGCCTTAGGGGCACTCTCCTTCTCAATGCATGGAAACATGACAGGTTGCTTTCACCAGTTATCAGTTCTTCTTTTCTGCCCAGATCAGACATGACCACACTTTCCTCCTCACAGCTGGACAGTTCAGTGATAGCCCAGCAGGCTGAGTTCATTGGTCATCTGGTTACCCTTTTCGTACTCTCTTTGATTCTAAGTCCATCTTCATGGACTTGGCAGCAGCCTCCTCAGAACCCATTTTCTGGTGATGTACTATTCCACCCACTCACCCTCACACTGGGAGTGCTTATTGTGTGTGGCTGAAACAATTGTCCCAGAGTTGTTTGATTTTCTGTGACTTCAGACTCCGATCAATTTGGGATGAAATCTCTTGACCTCTGCTGTTCACTACAGAGGATCAAGAGACAGCTGAACTTTTCCATGACTATTTGAGCTGTCTGTGGTTTTAGGGCTTTGTAGTAAAGACTAAGGGAAATTTGAAAAGCAGGCTAACTCTTGATAAGCAGCTACTCAGCTTGAACAGCTTTGAACAGCCCAGCTGCTGAGATTGTAGCAGCGAGATCTACTCTTTGCATCACCTGTGGGACTGATAGGTGACTGGACTTCCTGCCAAAACCTTGGGCTTCTTGAGAGCCTGTGTACATTGATTGTGCTGCACACTCTGTTTCCTGTCATGGCTGTTTCCTGTCATTCCTGTTTCCTAGTGGAGAGCTTGGCTGAGCTGATTTGCCATCAAGCTGCTGTCAAGAGATCCTTCACACTTGTGCAGCCATTAGGGGTGTAAGTTAAAGCAGCCGATGAGAATCCCCCTGTATTTAGTACAGAGGGAAGTCAGTGTTCTGGACACTATTCCTTTAGCCACCAGGTAACAGCTAAGGGTTTTGCTGTCCCTTGGACAGAGCCACTGATACCAGGCTCTGTTTCCAGGGAAGAACAAATCCAGTGTCTGTGGCAGTGTGTTGTACCCCTCTGCAGTTCAAGGCATCATAACCAAAATGCTTGTGGGGACACTCTCTTGTTCTCCAAACACATCCCCCTTGTGATCCCATAAATTAAATTTGAGTTCTCACAAGCATCCACATTCCTGGTATCTGGAGTGTTTGTACTTGTGTCTGAGGCAACTGTGGCTGGTAGAGGGTAGGTCAGGTGTGTATCTGAGGTTTCTGCAAGAATCACTCATCTGTAACCCTACAGAACACATGACCTGGTGATCTTAAGGGTCTTCCATGGCCTAAATGGTTCCATGATTCTATCCCTTAATACCCACTGTGGGAACATTCCAATCACCATCTTTTAAAGACAGCCAGATTAGTTGTGTGGCACTGACTGAAATTCTCCAGGAAATGCAGAATGTTCCCTTCGTCTCCTTTCAGCATTTTCCAAAGTTCCTTTTCACTGAGATTGAGAGAAAGCAATGTCACAGAGACAGAGGCACTGCCTCCCAAATTCCTGCTGTAATCCTGGGGAAAGCAATCCACAGTCATACCAAACTGAAGGCAAAAATGTCACTAGCAGCTGGATACTGTAATGTATCCAGACATGGTCAAAGTATCCAAGCTGGAGCACTTCTCTTGCTGCTTTACCTACTAGTAAACGGTTTGTACTCAGAAAGATGAAACAGAATTCGGCCAAGGACCCTGGAATAGTACTGGGTGCACCAGTCCTTCTCAGAGCTGGACACAGGAAACTTCCTGTTTATTCCACACAGTTCCAGCATAAAAGCTGAAGTATGTTTTCCGCAATGCAGAAATCACTCATCTTGTTGTAATGTCTGCCATTTGTGCTATAATTGGAGTACCTAGTACAATTTAATATGTCCAACCAGTTTGTGAATTTAGTTAGTATCTTTTAACTTCCAACAGCAAAACTAGATGCGCCTCCTAAGCCTAAAAGAGCTCCCAAGGCCAAGAAGGTGGAAACTGTGAACTCTGATTCAGATTCAGAATTCGGCATTCCAAAGAAGACGGCAGCACCCAAAGGTAGGAGTCACACCTGGGCTCTCTGGAGCACAGGGCTCACAATTATTGTAAGAACCACAATAATTGTGGTAAGTTAAGAGCACATGGATCACTGGTAGATCACTCAGCCTTTCCTGTGACAACAGTGTATTATTGACTTTTTGGCAAACCACAGGTGGAGGTTTTATCTGACCTTCACTGTTGGGAATGCATTTAATAGCTGCACCCCACACATCTTGTCTTCCATTCTGTTGGATACTACTAATTTTCTTTGAGCTCAACTGCTTCCAAGCCAGTAAAATTCTGGTAGTAATTGTAGTAAGTAGCACTTTCTGGGTTTTTAAGCCCATTTTTTGATATCCTCGTTCTCTGAGTCCTCACAACACAGCACAGCAAGCAGCATAACTGGAGGAGTCTGTGAAGTATGTGCCAGTGTTGATGGTTGAGGTTCAAAGTAAATTTACTAAATAGTAATGGTGAATTAATGCTGTGTAATCAGTGCAGAAGGTGACCAAGGACTTGTAGTTCTACTTTGGTGTAGAAGTCATTTGATCTCATGAATTTTGTCCCTGTCTTGAACTGAAAGCTTGAGCTGTCAGGGTGAATGGTGACTGTGGAACAAGTAGAAAAGATTTAAAACTGACAAAATAAAAAATACCTGTACTATACTTACTATACTGCTAAAGTAACTAAAGTAACTTCACTAGGGAGTTTTTCAATACCTGTACTATACTGCTGTTGTGAAGCAGCTTGAGTTGTAAACTGGGTTTTAGCTTAACATGTGGACATACTAAAGTAACTTCACTAGGGAGTTTTTCAGTTTGATGAAGTCTGGAATTTATTTTAAAAAAAACCAAAACAACAAAGCAACAAAGTTAACTCATAATCTCTGACCTAGGAAAAGGCAGAGGGGCAAAGAAAAGGAAAGCATCTGGTTCAGAAAATGAAGGTGACTACAACCCTGGGAAGAAAACACCCAAGTCCACACCAAGCAAGGTCAGTTCCATCTATGGTCTCTTCTCTTTTTAAAAAGATCTTCATGAATTCACATAAAAGTTAAGTTCTTATAAGTTGCTAATATGGTGTTGGGGGCTGAGGTGTCTTTAACAATCAGATGCTAGAGAGGTTTTTAGTTTTTTTTTCAATTCTGAATATTAAAATGGCAAATGTACAAGGCATCACAAATGATTTGTCTTTTGTTTTCTAAAGAAATCCAAGAAGGCCGCTTTTGACCAGGATTCTGATGTGGAAATCTTCCAGTCAGGCTTTGCCTCCGAAACTGCCCCAAAGCCACGGACAGGCCGGGCTAGAAAAGAAGTGAAATATTTTGCAGAGTCTGATGAAGATGATGATTTTGATATGTTTAATTAAGTGCCCAAAGAGCACAAAAATGTTTTCCAACAAGTATCTTGTGTTGTCCTTTTGTCCCCTCTGTTGCAAACTTTTGTACATTTGACTTATTTTATGTGATAATGTAATTGATGGTTTTTATTATTGTGTGTAGGCATTTTAACATTTTGTTCTTACACCTACAGTTTTATGCTCTTTTTTACTCATTGAAATGTCATGTATTTGTCTGACTGGCTTGTAGAGATGTTCTAGACAGCTGTGCTAAAGCACATTTTAATTGTCATGGTTGCAAACAGCAAACCTGCTTTTTGAAATGAAGTTTAAACATTAAAAAATGGAAAACTACCGTGTGTGCGTGTGTGTGTGGAAAATTTGGGCTAGAGGGACTACTTCTACACAGTTTTTAAAATAAATATATTTTATTCTTTGCCAGGAGACTCCATGGAAAAAGGTAAACAGTATATGAACATAGAAAGCATTGTTAAACAATCTCAATGTACAAACAGAGCCAGTGAAAGTACATCACAGACTTGCTAGAATATATAAAAAAAAAAAATTCCACTAGTGCTTTAAATGAAACCTAAGAAACTGACACTTTAAATCTGTTAACCATTCTACCACAGTTTTCACTCTGCTTCATGGTGATTTAACAAGGCCAAGAAGGCAGATTCTCTCCTTGTGTTTCTGGAAGTCCTAGCTGTACTTCCTTAGCACCTGGAAGGCTGGAAAGCCCAGCTGATTCCTGGCAGTTGATTCTTAAGGAAATACCCTGGACTCAGCGATTCAAAAGCTGTAAGTGAGTCTGCTGGTTATCATCCCATGAAGTTTCCCTAATGGCTTGTGAACAAGTAAACAAGAACATGGTAACACTGAAAAGTGTTTCTGCCTTGGAGGCTATAGCATTGCTGTCGAAATGGAGCAGGTAATTGTGGAGCTAGGTCACCAGCCAGCTAAGAAACCACTTCTTTAAACTTTAAAGTGACATTAACAGTGGAACAAATGACATCTGAATAACTGATCTGGCAGTTAATGCTGACACTGATACCTCTTCTGCTGGGGCAGTGACGTTTTGTATACTTTTTACAAGGAAGGAGATGCAAACTGAGGGCAGCAAGGACAAGTTTTCATATTTCAACTAAATCAGACGGTCCTTTCAACTTCCTTCTCTGGATGTGTACAGTAGTCCATGTCCTGTGGTTGGTGTCTTGATCGTTTTAGGTATGAGAGACAAAAGGAAAGCACCAAACATCCAGTATGGAGAGTACAGCCATACATTTGTATGTACAAAGTCATCAGAAATGCAACCAGAATTTGAAGACTGAGATCTGTCTTGTCACCATGCAATATTGAGTGTTCAGAGAAGAAAACAGAAGCTTAACTATTTTTTTTTGCATGAAATGGCTGATTTAGAGTTTCAAAAGTTTGCATTTTCTAGTTTTAAGAGTTTAAACAGCAAGGAGTATATATCGATACATATGAAAATTTCTTGGTCCTTGTTGAGTTTATCTATATATATATACATATATAGATATATATTAAGTCCAGAAACTAAGCAGCAGTAAAAATGTTTTCTTGCTTTTCATCCCTGTACATAAGGTATTAGGAATGTCTGAAGTAGCTGGAAAATGTCTTATTCCACCATAGGGGATTGACTGACACTGCTGTTATCCACTGAACTAGGTGAGATACTGGGACTGTGTTCTGCAGTATTTCCATTTGAGGTTGGTGTCAGTGGTTCATGTCCTTCAGAGTTCTCCAGCATTTCCTGAATAAGAGGTGGCATGGATCCAGGAATTTCCATTTTCAATGTAATGACACGTTCTGCACCTTTAAAAAGAAAACACAAAATCCTTCCCATGAGCATGATTCATACAATTTCCTTTCTGTTAGCATTACAGGAGTAATTTCAGGGTGTATTTTGTTAATAGATTTGGTGTCTCCTTCTATACTTGCACACAAAGGTGTGTGAGTGATCTGCTTCATGCAGTTCAGGAGGGAGCTTGATGAGTACTCCTTAAAAATTAATTCAAATCTATCACATAGCAACTGATATTTCAATACAGGTAAATTGGATGAGCTGCCTATTTTTAAAGAAGGACCCAAAATGGCATTAAATTATACTGAAAAATTAAATTAGGCTGTGATCATGTCAATGTCTTTTTAAACTGGAATAACATTTAGTCTTCATTCTGTACTGGTTCTGCAAAGAATGACAAAAATTCTGTCTGTGTTAAATAGGTGAGATGAATCCTGCAAAAGAACTGCAGTGATCTAAGTCAAAATGTTTCCTTCCCATAGAGAAAACTGTGAAATGAGATACAGAATTTAACAAACAATTGTTTTAGAAAAGAACACATTCAGGCAAAAAGGTACTTTTTGCACGGGGGGAAGCTGCCTTCTGTATTCTTCAGGCATCTTGTCTTGTGCTAATGAGCCACCAAAGTGTGCAGGAGCCTTGAGGAGTGCTCAGCTCTGCCTCTGCTGAGGCTCTTTGAGCTGGGCTTGTGACAAGTTCCAGGCATTTGTCTGCAGAGGGGGCTCAGCAGGTGAGTGCACACAAAATTACTGCCTCAGTCCTGCCCACTCAGACTGGGAGCCCACAACAACTGGTTTAGGGAGGAAAGAAAGCCCAGCACGAAGTCTCAGTGTGTGGTCAGCAGGCAGGGGCACAGCACGAACACAGGCAGCACTGAGGGAACTCTGCATCAAGCAATTTATAGCCATAAACTTCAGCATTCCTGTTGCTCAGGATTCCTGATCATCTTAAAATTGGAGTTCAGTGGAAGAGGAACCTGTGTTTTTTAAACAACAAGAAGAACCCCAAAAAAATTACAGAGAAAATAGTTTGGTTATTGAAAAACCATTGTAGAAGAGTGATGCTTTGGAAATAAATACTGTGCTTATCCATGCTGCTGCAGTGGGCATGCTGGAGAGAGCACTACACACTCCAAGCTGGAAGGAGCATTTAAGTGTTTATGCCTTACATGAGGAACATTGAAAAAAATCATCTACAAAGGCAATGATTGACTTTTCAAGTGGCTGCTGACTTAAGAGTCTGAAATAACTGTAAGGGGAAAGATATTAATGCAGAATGATGCTGAGAGGTTCTCCGAAAACCAGCTGTCAGAGCTGTGCTGAGGAGCTCAATTTGGCCATGTTAAACACCTGCTTTCCACTGTTCTGTCAGGTGCAGTGAAGTGTTTGTGTGGTCATTCAGTGCAAAGCCAGAGAAATTTTTCAGGTTTTGCATACTTCCAACTTAATCAGAAGATAACTCAGAAGATGAGAAGAACTCAGAATTGTCTTGCTTCAGTCCCACAAACCCTTCACCCTTTAGCTGCAATAGCTCTAATGCCAAAGCAGACACTCTCAGTGTTTCAGATTAATGCTTGCTTTGGTGTTTGCTTTCAGGGATCAGGTGCCATCCAAAGCCATTATCGTCTAACGTACATCTTTTAAAACGAAACTCAAGACATCCCCAACCCTCCAGGACATCACCATCCTTTGGTATGATTTAGTTCTACTATGAAACATTAATGATATAATTAGAGTTAAATACTTATGTCAGAATGAAAAGAAGCCTTTCTTGTGAATGGAATATAGGGAGTTGTGTTCTTGAGGAGTGTGAAGGCTCTGGTAAAGACGAAGGGAAGTGGAAATGGATATCCCAGAAGTATAAACAGTGGAACAAAAGGGCTCTCCCAAATGCTTTTATAGCTCAGTACTGCTCTAAATTTATTTTGTAGATTCAGTTGGATGGAGCTTGTTTTACTTGAGGGTAAACTGCAAGCTTTAGATAACCTGGTAAAGTGGTTCCTTTTTAGGATACTTTTGCTTCTAGCTCTGGTGTTTCCCTTCCAAGTTACTTCTTTTGGTTCTAATCAATCCAATTAAACTGCTCACTTCTTTTTATAAAGATAGCGCTAACTTAATCTTTTAACTTGGATTTATTTTGTTTGAAGTGGAGCAGTTAAGGTTTAAATTTAAAACAAGCGTGTTGAGTGAATTATCTGCTGGGTTTTTCCCCCCAAGTCTTCCCCCAAACTGTGTCAAATGAAATTGGTAATCTTCCTAAAAGCACAGGTCCAACCTACACAGCTACCTGTACATACAAACTCGTGTGCCTGCTCACCTATCAGGGGTAGCAAATCTGTTGCTGAGTAAAGCAGAGTAAGAAGGTGAAACTGCATCAGCCACCATAAGAACAAGAACTGTTGTGCTTTAGACTCTCTATTTTCAGACTAATACATCAGAGAACCTGTTCTGATCAAGTGAGAGCATTCAGCTACACCAGTGCTTTAGAGAATGTGTGGCAGTGCTTAGACTATGAATTGCACAGGATCAATCCAGCACATGCAAGACTGCATAAAATGGTAAAACTGATCCATGTTTAGGTATGGTTCATTTGGATTAGAGAGGCTGAATGTCCAAAATGCTGGATCAAATCAGTTCTATATCTCCAATACCTCAGACCACAGTTTAGGGGAATTTTGGTTGCACAAGTGTTTTCTGCAGTCTGTAACCAGACTTTTTAAAAAGCCATTGGTGATACAAAGCACATGTTGATCTGAACCACCTTGTAAACATTAACAAAGGTTTTATCTTGTCCTAAAATGACTAACAAAGACCTCATGCTAATGATTTGCTACTACTTGCACCTACAACATCTTTTTCACTGTCAGTTGCATGGAGAATGGAGCACCATGCATGTTTAAAGCAAAACCAATTTCAAGGCAGGAATTACGTAAAGAAGCTGGGAAGAATCAGGTCACGAGGACCTTTCTTTCTTAGATGTGTTAAAAAAAATAACAACCCAGGTGTCTAGGCCAGTTCCTCTGAAATGCAACAACTCCTGTTGAGTTATTAGGAGAAGCCATACCTTTTGCACTGATGCTACGAAGATCCGTGATTTTCATTAAGATCTTTGGGAACATATGAGGCTTGTTGGGTCGTCTCTTTCGGATATAAATTTTCAGTGCTTCAAGCAAGGGTTCCTGAAGCTTATCCACTTTCATTGGTTCTTCAAGGTCCTGGCGATCTGTAGAAAAGTATCATATCACTCATATGATTTGAAATATTTAATTTTTAAAATAAACTCCAAATCACAGAATCTACACTGTGTTTTCGATTAGAACTCCATGAATTTTGTTCTCCGCTAAACAATGCGCACTCTGTAGTGAGCATTCCATAGGAAGAGGATAAACCACAACTTTCTGAAACATGGATTAATCTTTTTCCTTGGTGACTGGAAAGGTTTGTAATGTGGGTGGTCAAGAATTACCAGTTTGCTCTTGTACCTCACTCTTCAAGGGGGAAACACCCTACTGCAAACAATATTTTGGAATTAATTTTATATATGTCACTGATAGGCAGTCCAGGTACACAGAGAGGTTACAGCTATTTTTTGTTACCACTTGTACAGTAAAGTGAGTTACCATCAGGAATCAGCAGATGGCAGTGCTGGCTTGGATGACAACAGATGCCACCCCTCTGCACCAGGACACACGAGAAGTCACATATCACTGACACCTAGGAGCCCATCAATGCTTTTAATGGGTTAGGGTTAGAGACACATAAAATCGGAATGATTTTGTACTAAAGGGCCGCTGCCAACAAAGACTGACTCTTGTGTTTCAAACACTTGCAGCACCCAGTTTGTGTTTCAACAATATGGCCCAGCTATACAAGGTGTGCTTCTATTGCTAATCCAGATTTTGTCAAGGAGGAGAGAGACCAAGTGATTAAACCAACAGAAATTTACAGATTATTTTGCAAATTATCCGATACTTCACTTTTTGTATTTTAAGCCTATGATTTTAATTGACAATCACTCTTTTGAGCTCCCTTCAGCCCCAGTTTGGAAGTATAACACATTTTTTTGCTAAAGAAAGTTATCCCCAATGGCTTCCACGTGACTGAAACCAATGCAGATGCACACAATTATATTTATGTGTAATTGGGCATCTTTCTGGAAGAAAGCTCACTCATGCAGGTACCCATAGACTGGTTAGCAAAAACACAGCAGGACCTGATCTCCAGAGGTCCCTCCCCACTCCAACCATTCTGTTGGTTATCTCAATGCCCTTTGTCAGGCAAACAATAGGACTGGTTGCTTGACAGAAGGATTTCAGTACTTTTTTTCAAATTATCAATAATAAAACCAGTAACTATCACCAGTGGAAAGCAAACTTTTAGCATTAAGTAGCTTATATAATACATACAATAATGTTACAAATCTATATATAATATGTTTAAGTAAAGGAAAGCAAAACAAGTAGAACATAAATGAAGACATTATCATGTCCTTTTGAAAGGCATTAGATTTCATGCAGTACGATACCTCCACAGATTAGGCAGATGGCACTAAGGAGACCTGTTTCTGTATCATCCATTTCCAAAGGCAGGAGCTGGTTGGCAAATGTGAACACGAGATCAGTCAGCGGGCCAAATCCGGCATTGTGCATCTGAGTTCGGTTTAGGGTAAGGCCATCTGAAAAGGTCATGGTGTCTTGTTCCGGTGTGTATCTTGTGCAAATTCTAAGGATCTGTGGAAAAAGAAAAGAAAAATGTAATCTGAAGAATTTAATCCATGAGAGGTTTGTTGCATTTTCTTAGTGTGGCAAATGACTCCATAGAACTTCAGTACTTGGCCACGTCAGAACAATCTGAAAACAAACTCCAGTTTTGAAGAATTTAATCCATGAGAAGTTCGTTGCATTTTCTAAAGCGGCGAATGATTCCGTGGAACTTCAGTACTTGGCCACGTCAGAACAATCTGAAAACAAACTCCAGTTTGTGCAGTTCTAGCCGCACAAAAACTCTCAGGTACAACACAAATATACTCTATTGACTATGTCTATTCCTTGTAACACAAACCTAAGGACAGCAATTTCCCCCTAGTTATGAAATAATCAAAACTTTGGAGAAACTCTCACCACCCAGGTCACCAATACTACAGTGATACCCACAAAAACAATTCTTTTATTAGTCTGCCACTTGCACCTAACTATAAAATGTGACTGATCTGATAAATTGCTGATCTGACCCAACCAGGGCCTGAGCATCTCACCTTTTTGAAGAAAGGCATATCTCACTGATTTTGGGGATCACTTTTGCACAGCAGCACTTCCCTGGGTTGTATCTTTGACAATGACAACGCTGTGGGAGTGGAAGCTTGTGGGAGTGAGTGTGGACAGCTGTGAGCTGCTGAAGAGACAGAATTTTGGGCTGCCTTCCCCTCTTCTGCAAGAGCAGACAGACAAACACTGCCATGAGGACAAAGCCCTCTATCTCCCCAGCAGCTGCAGGTAGGGTTTCCTTGGAGCACGCTCGCCCTGTCAGCCTGGGAGTTTGCACCCAGCGGAACATCAAACTCTGCACCTCCAAACACCAGCACACACTACTCCTGGCAGCCTGGCCCGTGGTCTAAGGAGTTGGCTCAGCTTTTCTTCTCTTCTGGTGGTTGCTATTTCTGTGTGCTGTAATACCAAACCTCCTCACCAGCCCGCTGGCTGCCAGCCTTCCTGCCGGCGCTGGCGCTTCCCCCTGCGGAGCCCCAGTGGTGGCAGGCCCTGCCTGCCTGGTGCGAAGCCGCTGACAGCGCCTCATTCCTGAGCACGCCCGGGCAGTGCCGGCCTTGGCAAGCCCGCCTGTACGCCGACAGCCACCCAGTGCTGACCCCAGATCAAAGAGCCTTCGAGGGGAGCACGGGGATTCACACCTCTAACTGGGCACGGGGGAATGCAAAACACATGAATAAAACACCGAGGATGCTCCACATTTTGTTAGTAAATGCCTCTGGGGTAAGGGCAGCGTCAAGAGCGCTGTCACAGCAGAGGTGGCAGCACGGCCAGAGAGGCAGCGTGTGCGTGAACGCTTCCGCCTCTCAGGATGTGTGCCATGATTTGTGGCACCGGATCATTTGTACAGCTGCAATTAATGAACAGGGCCGTAAGGACCAAATAAAAGAGGGGTCCATCATGTTGACATATTTCTGTTATATATATCAGTGCTTAATGTTTAAAATAATCAGAGGTGGGAGAGGGCTTGTGCCGAAACTAAACTGAACTGAAACCCTGTCGAAGTCAGGCTGATTAGCTGAGCTAAGACTACAGCTGTGTTTTTTCAGGGCTTGACTGTATTTATTTCCCATCCTACTTGGTTTTAAAGATACAACAAAAAAGATTGACATGAATATAAGAGAGCACTGGGAGAATTTAATTACTCCTGTAGCTTCTGAGGCTCTGAGTCAGAGGCCCCAGCACATGGCAGCTGACCAGTCTGGGCTTGGTTCTCCCACTTTCATCTTCGCCTGGCAACACTGCTCAAATAAACAGGGAGGAGAACGAGGAGAACACTGTCTGTAAGACACCTGTAGGGAAGCTTTTGTTTCTCTTCTTCAGTTCCTTGGTAAGATACTTAATAGGGCCTATTTCTGCAGATAGATCTTCAACTGTTTTCTGTCTCAGCAATAATCTTATCTCACATTCTGGGTATACATTGAAGTACTGAAACTTTGTGTGGTTGGACAGGCACGTATGACATTGTTGCCTTACCTCCGAATTAGAGTGAGTTCTTCAAATTACTTAAATCAGTGACCAAGAGCAGAATCAGTGACCAAGAGCATCACAAATACAAACACACAGCACATTAATTCCTCAGTGACCACATATTGCCCTTAATATGCCATCTTAAAAGTGTGTGGTTGCTAGATTTTATGTAGTAGCCAATGTATTGTTCAGGATCATTAGAAAAAATTAACATTATAAAGCCCAGCACCCCGTAAGTAAGAGGCAGCATCTTTACCACACTCAGAACTGCCAGTGACCACTGGCCATGCTCTCCCCTGAAGTTCACAGTGGGTTGCTCTTTTAAATCATTAAAAGATTGTACAGAAAGCAGAAGAAACATGAAGAATACCTGGTGTTCAGGAAAAGAAAGGTTCCAGAGCTACATATTTACTGTGACACCCAAGAGCTGCTTGGTTCACCTCTCTAATGGCATGCAAGAGGAATTGGAGTGCAGCTCTTCCCACCTGAGGCCTGCACAGACAGTAGCTGCCTTCCAGTAAGGATGCATGGCTGAAGAAGATCATGTCTCTAACTCTGGGAGGAACAAGGCTCTGTACTTCTTACCTGGTACTGCTTTTCCCTTAGCTCAGCCAGGCAGAAAGGCAGCCCCTTTGACTCCAGTGCTATTTCAATTGGTAAGCCTTGGCAAGGAGAGTTCCTCCCTCCACAACATCAGGACTCCCTTCCCAACAAATTAGCAGAGCAGGATTGGGAACTTAATTGGGCAATGCCATGGGGTATTCCCCAGGCTGCCTGCAGCTTCCCCGGCAGCTGCCCAAGCAGGGCTGGCAGATATGGATCCCCCAGATCCTCCCTCAGAGGGTAGGTCTGGACACCAGCTGCCACGGAGATCCCTGCCCAGAGGGACTGGGGTGCCCTGGAGCGATGTTCCCAACAGCCCAGAGGCTGAACACATACGCACCAGGCTGCTGGCTGCCCCACAGCAAAGCTCCCTGTGCTTGTTTCCCAGTGCCACAAGCCCCACAGTGTTTGGGGGTTGCATGATAGGAGTGCTCAGCAAAGAGACCCCCAGGGCTAAAGCAGAGGAAGAACTTCCAGGCTGAATCCTCATTGGGAGCAAATTTGGGTGAGGTTACTCAGCCTCAAGCCAGCCCCTGTGGGCATGCACAGAAAGGGACCTGCAGGGCCCGGCAAAATTTATAATGAAAACATGAAGTCGGGTAGGATTATCTACCTGCAGGCTTAGGCAGCAAGCAGGACAGGTTTTTGTTGAAGGCAGCCTTCAGGCCTTCGCAGCCCAAGGGCTGCACCAGCCGTCAGCCGGGGGAGCCCGCAGCGGCTCCGCTGGGCACCGCACGGCCGAAGATCAACTATGTGTTCTCAGCAATGCACTTAACTTGACTGCAGCAATCAGGTCTCAGGTTTCCTCTGCATTCCTTTGACATTATCCCCCAACACGCTGTTATTAAACTCCAAGACAGATCATTTGAAATAGTGTTTTTCTTTTTTGTTGTTTTTCTTTTTTTTTTTTTAATTTCTGTCCTTCATCAGGATCTGTGAAACGCCGTGGATATTGCTGATTGTTGCTAAACTGTTCTTGGGCAAATTTCCAGTGTCAAAGTAAAGCTGATTTCAAGCTCATATTCACTGAAGAACATATGGGAAACATCAGCACTTCAAAATAAGAAATCACGGTATCTTTCTCCATTTTAAACTGAACTCCCAATGTCCTCAGTGTTGTTTAGATTTTGCAACCAAGCCAAGTATTTTAGTTGTCACTCTGCTCTTAAATGCCACTTGCAGCCATAAATATGGTTTTCCCTCATTATTAAAGGCCTCTTTGTTTTAAGGAATATTTATATATTAAAGCATTAGGGATTCATATGAGCCTGTCATAAAGTGCAAAGCAAAAACCCTACCAGAGGCACCAAACCAAAGTCAGCCAGAAAGTTGCATTTATGGCATTGCCGCTACCACAGAATTGTTACTCATTTTAAACAGATTAGGTAGGGCAAGCTGGGCCTATTTTTTAGAGAAATCCAGTTGTTAGACACTAGCTGCCTCAGCTGGCTGGGCCAGTGCCTTGAGAGGAGAAACCCAGGCAGGTGACTCTGAGGCAGTGATGCCTCATGGCGCTGCCAAACCCCGTCAGCACAGCTTGTTCTGCACACACAAATTCCTGCCTGGCATTAACACACGGGGGCTTACCACAGAAAACAAAAATTACATCATTAAGGATTAGCATTCAAGGACTTCTCAGGTTTTTATCCACTGGATTTAAGATAGACTGGACTCTGGATTCTTTCCATATTTGTCTTGCCAGAGCTCAGCAAGGCTAGGGATGCTTGGCTGCTGCTGGGCCAGTGTACCAGCAGACAAGCACTCACTTTTACAAGGGTTATTGACTGAATTTTAGTAATATTTATTGCTAAAACTTTTGGTACCAGACAAGATTCAAATTCCACAACCCTCATTTGGCACCTCAAACTGCCTCAGGAAGCTTGATGTTTTTTCCCTTCCAGAGTTAGTGTTTGTTTGTACATAAAACAATTCTTTGGCCCACTACCCATTGGAGTTTACTGAGCTCCTGGCACCATTTCCTTTGTCAGTCTGTTTAAGAGGGCCTTAAGTATGCACAGCCACAGGAACCAATTGAGCAGAGACCTTGGCAGGGTCTATAAATGCTTAAGACTCTCTACAGCTGGTGCTGAAGGGCAGGCGGGCAGTGAAGGGGTCCTGCTGGCAGGGAAGCCTGGCCACCCTACCTGGGAGCCCCACGCTGCTCCTCCCACGTGCTGTGGCTCTGGGAACACATCCAGGGCATGGCAGAGCAGCAGGATCATGAGGGAACACTGCTGAGGCTCATGGCCCTGCTCAGCAGAGCTCACACAGCACCACTGGGGGCTCGGTGCAGCAGGAGGGGCAGCAGCGCTCGCTCTGCATCTCAAGGCACCACACAATGAAACACTCATAACTAGGACAACTGGCTTTGGGAGCGGGGGGGAATACGTGCTATTAAAACTGCTCCAGTACTGGTGTTCAGCTTAAATAAAGCTAGAGAACAGCACTGCAGTTCCGATTATGCGCAGGTGATGCTGCTTTAATGGATGCAGCATTTCACAGGCGGCGCGCACACTACGCATTACTGTGTCACGGTAATTATCTCATTTTCTTTTTAAGCAGCACATAAAATAGTCACATAAAGTTTGTGTAAATGTCACACAGGAAGTTAGGACTATTAGCCGTGCCATATCTGTTCGTGAGTTTGGAAAAGCCTCAGGTCCTCCCAGCTGCAGGCTCCTATGGTGCTCGCTATGCCCTGCTCGTGCGGATGTGTCACCTTCTCTGGCTTTGTGAAAAATAAAAAAAGAATGAGCAGGTGATCTGGAATGACAGGCCTCAATAAAGTTTATAACTAGAGCTTGAAATGTTGCCAGTGGCCACAAAGTAAAAGTGCTGAATTGTATTAAAGAATCAACATTTCTATCCATTAATTAGTTGAAATAAAGTCACCATTTACCACCTGCTTCATTCTGTTTTTCTATCTGGCAACTAGGCTTTTATTTAATCACTTTGATCGAAGTGCCTTTATCGAGGCACTTCAGATAAAACCCCTACCAAAAAGGGTCCCCTCAATTTTTTAGCCAGTGGTGGCAATGGCAGCACTGAGTGGAGCTGCTGCAGGGACCCTGTGCAACAGGGGCTGTGCATGTTCCCAGGGCAAGCTGCCACCGCCCACCCCAACAAAGAGCATCAGGAGCTTGCAGGATTACAGAATTAGGGCATTTCTTATCCAGCAGCTATGGAGACAGGGCATGGCACAAACAAACAGGGTGGCAGCTTGAGGGCTGAAGTTTTAGGGGTAAAAGGCTTGGATGAGCAGGTTCTTGCCATATCCTGGCTGCTCCTCACCCTTTTTGTATAGTTTCTGTATTAACTATTTGTTACGGGTTACAGCAGCACAGCACAAAGCAGTTCCCATCCCCTGCTGCTGGCAGAACACACTCGAGGCAATGCTGCAGTTTTTTGATCACCATCTGCCTCTCGTGTGAGGGGAAGGTAACAGAATCTGATGGGGACAGAGCTGGTGATGACAGGCGTGCAATCGGTAACGAATGGCCCTGCCCCACGGAGGGACACTCTCAGTAACAATGAGATGGCTGAGTCTGAATGAGCGCCTGGATTAAGGGAACAACAAGAGGTGACTCTCAAGCATGGCAGGGCAACCTCAACCTTCCCTTTTTCTATAGGCCAAAGAATGATACCCCTTCCCCTCTCCTACCCCTCTTCCTCCTTCATCAATGTCCTCTTGATGCGATTCTTCCAAACAGCTTTTGACAAAACAAGAGGAAAAGGTCACAGCAGTTAACGTCCCCCTCAACATGATCCTGTTTGAAGCAATGCACTTTTAGAAATTCCAAGATTAATTACTTCAACTTCAGCTTCCCTAGTTTAAACTCCTGTGTCATGACAAAAATACATCTACAGTAGCCATCCTACAAGATGCTTCTAGACTGGCCAAGCTTGGCTCAATGAGGACCTGAAGGTTTGTGCTCAGAATGAAATATTTAAAATATGTTTACATTGAACGTACTGTTTTACTGCAAGTTATTGCTACCACCAGCATATCTGCCACTAAAAGCCTGAAGACCTCTAAGATCTCGATAAAGAAATGTTGAGATCCCAGAGGGTTCCTCTGAAGGTCAGCGTGACAGAAACAACCGGAGACAAAGGGAGGGAAGACAGCTTTGCCTTGACATAGTGGCAAGGCAAGGTCTGGAGAAAAACTCCCAGCCCACCTGCACAGTTCCCTCCTGCAGGTTGCATGTTTGCCTGTTTAAATTACATTTAGCTAAAACCTGTAGTGAGTCCACTACATTGGCCACTTCCACAGATACCTGCAGCATTGGAGAAAGCAGGGGGCTATGAGTGCCAGAGGCTTGCATCTGACAGGCTCCAAGCACACCAGCTTCCCCTCTAAAACCTTAAAAACACTAATTCCAAAGACTTGTGTCTTATTCCTTAAACTCCCTTGTAACAAACAGCTACAGCACATTCCTAAACCATTATACAGTGCACTGTTACTCTAGGAATCTTTTATGCATAGGATCATGCAGAGGAAGGAAGGAGAAACACGTCTCTCTTAAGTGTTAACAGTAAAGACAATTTTCCAAAGCTGTCTTTGGAAAATGTCACATGTCACAATACCAAAATGTATTTTACTGAAACCCACAAAGTGTAAGGCCTTTTTTTGGGAAGCATGCTCATCCCCCAAAAGACACCTCTGTAGGTGTGCTGGAATGATCTTCTGACCGCACCAGACTACCCAGTAAGTTCAATTTTACAACAATAAGGTCAGGGCCATATTTCACCCCCCTCTTCCTGTCAACTACAGTAAAAAGAAGAATAGAAAACACTTGAGTAGGAGAACAATGATGTTAAAAATACATACCAGTATATCCAGGCAGGCTGCTTTCAGTAGAGTTATTTGGTCTGCAATGGTCAAACTTGTAAAGCCTGGCAATCGCTTTGCAAATTCCACTATTTTAATAATGCACTTCGTTGCAAGTTCACTGAATTTGTCCCAAAGCCCAAGGTCCAGTCGAACCCGATGATCTGCGCTGGAGTTCTGGAAAGACAGACAGAAGACACCATAAATCAACAACGTCCCTTTCAGCAATCGGTTTTCAAGGGAAGGAAACAACAACCACGTTTTCCTTCCAGAAGTACTTTCTATTAACATTCCAGGCATTTTCTGCAGCTTGCTCTTGGGATGATGCTGGTTTTAAACTTGGATTAATCGCCTGAAAATTCCTTGGATACTTCTCTGTTACTTATGATTGCAGAGGCCATCTGTACAAGGAATACAAATGAACTTAAACATTTCCAAATGCCACCCTCATTATTCTTCCTTGCCATTATATAATAAGTGCATTGAGAAAGACAATTTACAGTTGTACCCCAGAAAATATAAATGAACAGTGGAACAAGAATATTGGGTCCTCCTCTGGAAAAAACAGCACAATATTTGGAACATAGTTTCACATACTTAAGGTCTTAGAAAATTGGTTCTGCTTAATTTCTCAGCTCTGTGACTCTTCCACAGCTTTCTGAAGCTACAGTCTCCCATGACTTACAGAGCATTTATTTACATGATGTTAAGGAAAATCCCATGTGCCTGGATGAATGCTACGTGCTCGTTTGATGGTGCAGCCAACATACACCCCCACTGCTGGAAGTGTAACAAGGACATTCCAGTGGCATCTTTCAGGGAGTGTTTATATTCACCTATCTCAAAATCTCCATAATTTTCTAGAGTGCATAGGAAACTTGTGTTAAGCTTGTGATCAAACTCACATTTTTCATACATTTAGAACAACCACTTAACCCTTGAAAAAGGTGAATATGTCAACCAAGAACAGCCTGACTCAAAATCTGCTGTGACCCATTTGATGCCAGCCCACCAACACTGGGTGTCATGAGACCTGGTGAGCCCATTCCAATCAACCCAGGACTCCAGCAGAGTGACAAGAAACAGGTAATGACAGAGCGCTGAAATATCCAGATCTCCTCTTTCTTTCTGCCCTCACACACAGTGAATTGTCAGCCTTTGATCCAATGCTATTTAGGATGCAGCCAGTGTGATGCTGTCCCCCAGCCCCCTGTTTCTTAAGCCACCAAATTCAGTGTGCATTGCAGCTGCCTTCAGCATCTGGGTGATCTCCTCTTCACTGCAGGAGGAATTTTACCTATAAAAATATGCCCAGGCAGTGGTTTTCTCCCCAGCTGCAGAGGAAGCCCATGTGATCAGCTGCCTCAGTCTCAGCTGGTTGAAGTTAAAATGTTAAATTAACTTTAAAATTAAAGTTAAATGAGCAGAGTCTCAACCTAAAAGTCTAACAGACATGGCAGATTAAATAGCCATCAAAAAGCATTCAAATTACACAGATCACACTTCCTTGGAGGAAACATTTCCAGTGAGCCTGCCGCCACCACTCCTGATGGTGAGGACATCCACCTCTTAGAAAACCATTGAAGCCATTATCTTGTCACCTTTCTTTGGTTCACGGGAAGGACAAAGGGCTGGAAGAGGTTGGTGAGGCAATGTGGAGTGAGCTCAGCTTGGCTGTGATGCTCTGGACCCCATCCCAGCGCTGCCTTCACAAGACACCACCACTACCATCAGTCATGAAGGGGAAAGTCCTGACGAGTCCCCAGGGCACCACCAGCCTGACATTCACCCTCACTTGGAACAGCTTGGAGATTTGAGCCAGGAATATTTACATTAGGCCCTAATTGGAAAAAATAAATGCTGACTGTGCTGAGCAGTCCGAAGGAGCATGCGTGCTCTTTCCTGCTACCCATCTCTTTAGGGGATAATTAATTCATTTCATCATTTCTATTTGAATTTTTATTCTGGGAACTTCCTCTATTTTCTTTTGGGTTTTTTTAAATGACAAAAGAAAATGTCTTTATAATGCTAAACCTAAAGAATTGCCTTCAAAATGGTCCAAAACTAATGAGTTAACAGTGATTGTAATGCCCTTTGAAACATTTCTTTCGGCTACTGGAGTATGCATCCCTCAGATTTATTTTATTTCATCCTCAAGGACCTTGGTGAAATACAGTACATTGGAGGAAAAATAAGATCAAGATGTGCAGTCATTCAGGCTGTAATTAAATTTAATAGGCAGTTTATCCAGTTCATAGAAAGATGGCATAGCAGAGAGCTACACAAAGCAGAGCCTAAAGCAGGAAATCATTTTACAATAGGGTATCCATCTGGAAAAAAAGACGTTGCATGAAACCAGCAAGTGTGAACGAAATCTTCATCAGTATCATATGAGGTTACTTTATCATGCTGCAGTGCCAGCAACGGGAAGTTTGACGTGTCTTCTATTAGGAAAAATGCACGACCGTCGTAACAAATGTAAATCCAACTCTCTATTATGCAAACTGAAGAGAAGGGGCAGTTAATAAAATACAAAATAACCAGGTGTTTTATTATGTCAAGTGCCAGATCCCTCAGCATTGGAGCTAATGTGGTTTACACATTACCTTTGAGATGCTACAAATGGAAAGAGTTTTAACATTCTATCTGTTAATGAATGTCAACACTAGTGTCACAGGAAAAAAGAGCTGGATTTTTAGCAGCATTTCTCAGTATTGAAAAACCAAAACTGACTCAATATCAATGTATACATTGAACAATAAAACACAGGGTTAAAAAAAAAATGCACAACAGAAACAAAAACTCTGATTAAATTAGCCTGGAGATCTCCTCTATCCATGCTGTGAAAAAGATGCAGACGCTATGACTTTTCCTGAATATTTTACTGAAGCGGGTTTTTGGGTGTCTTTTCCAGGAGCAGTCTCTCATGTTTTTCAGGCCTATGCACCAGTGCACATATGGTAGAACAATACTGTAATACACCCTAGTGGCATCTTTATCAGTGGAAAAGCCCAACCTTGCTATGAAATCCAATTAAACAGCCATTTTTGCCACATAAATTGATCCCATTTTTTCCATCATTTTTGTTTTTTCATTGCAGGCTGCTCTGTATCCACATTAACAATATGGGATGAGGTACTCATAGAAACATACACAGCAGCAGAATCCCTACTGTCTTTAAAATCCACTTTACAAAGGAAACAAGGCTCACAGGGGCACTCTGCCCTAATCAGGAACACTCGTGATGCCTCTTTAGTAAAAGCAGCAATGCACTCCAGCTCCAGAGAGTTCACTGAGGACCACGACACATGTCCCTGCTCAGTCCCAGTATCAGGAGATACACACATATTATATATATATACATATATACACACACACACACATATATATATACACACACACACATATATATATTGCTCTGCAATGGCACTGAACAATAGCTGTGTCACTTCTAAGACCAGCACTTCCAAAGAACAAAATGCTGTCAAGGCGTGGAACTTCTTTACTTCCAGCTAGCCAAGAGCTACCCAGGAGTATCTGCAGCAAGGGTCTGCAGAGCCAAAACTGTTTTCTGTTTTATCCTCCCTTTATCACAAGGCTGGATGTAACACAGCTGTAGACTTACAAATAATACCACTCTCAAGGGACAAGCAGTATAGTTACACTCAATTATACTATAAAGTATGACATCTCCAGAGAAATTACTCAGGCACTCTCTCTTACCTGGATGACAGTAATAAAACAGATCTGTTTATGATGGACTTTTGGAATCCATTACATTTAAACAGCTTGCTGATTCTCATCATTGGTAGAACTGTACTTGTCACTGCCCACCAAATGCAACTGTTAAGTCAAATGACTCAGGGAATTTAATACAAGTGCTATTCTCCCATTATTTTAAGTAGACTTCTATTAACTATTCAAAGTATGGGGCCACTTTTTCTTTCTAAAGAGCAGATGGCTATAAAAAAAAGTAATTGAAAATGCTTCTCCAAAACCATTTTTAACAGGTAAAAACACACAATGAAAGGGGGAAAAAAAATCACCATGCAACCTTTCCCTCTGGGAAATGCAGGCTGCAGTGCTCAAGAGTGAGAGGAGCCAGATACATGACCCAAATGCCTGAACAGATTTTTATTTTTACTGTATCTATGTAAGGTCTTTTTTACTTTACACTCCTATAATTTTTTTCTCTTTTTAGCAACAAACAAAATCTTCTTTTAAAACAGTATGAATTATCGCGTAACCAAAGACACTCAGGGGCCGCTCTTGCACAACGGTTTCTTCCATCCACCATCCCTGTCAGCACACAAATGCAAGGCTCACAAAATTCAACAGAATCCACATTGGTTAGAAACACTCACTTCTCACCTCTCACTTAGAGAATTAAATTAAAAACTCTAAGGTTATAAAAGCAATCTGTGTGCTCTGTAGTGTGAGCACGCCATGCCTCACGACTGACAGCACGCAGAGCCAGGCATAAAAGCAGGACTGGGGGCAATCTTCTACACGTACTAGATTGTTACTATCAAAAAAAGCAGAGTAGCATATAGGCTTTTAGCCTATAAACTCCCCTTGGACTCAGCACTTAGAAAAAGGGCTCTGTGCTCCTTTGTTTTTGATTTCTGGTCTCTGCTTCAAGTGTCTCAGATTGTTGTCAGAGCCCTGCTGTTTGATCAGCAGCTGGTGGTGGTGTCCAGGCACCGGAGCAGTGCTCTTGTGACCAGCACACACAGCTTCCACATCCCAGATCCTCTTGTATCCTCAGGGCTGCAGAAAGCATTATCCCCTGCCCCTGGGCTGGCAGGCAGCTGGAGGGGAGCCCTTACTGCAGGCCCAGCACCACTCTGTCCTTCCCATGCGAGCTCTTAACACCAAAGTCCTGCATAAAATGCCACAGCGGCTGCCAGACCTTACCTATATGAGAGATTTAAACACTCTGCATTTCACACAGAGTATGAGAATGCAGCAAGAAGACAGTATTTAGCACTGCTGCTATTAGGTCTGATGCAGTGTTTGAAGGAAGCAGCATCGCTCTCAAGGATTCAAGGTAAGCCGAAAATAATTCTTTCAGTATAATTCTGTTGTTGCAACTTGTACCATGACAAAGCAGGAGAGGGCTGAGCCCTGTGCAGCAGTTCCCTGCTTTGGACTTCCAACAGAGTAATGCTAAAACCAAGAAATCTGCCCCAGGCTGTCCCATCAGGCTTGAGATACGAATGACCAATATTCAGCCTCAGAAAGAGTGCAGTCGAATCATGACTACTCGTGTTCCATAGACAGACCAGATTCATCTGCTCATTACTGAGATCCAGGTGCTCTCAATAAGGGCTCTGAAATTCCAACAGGGGCATAAACTCCCCATGGGGTTCAGACAGAACCTAAGGAGGAAGGCATCAGCAGTGGGTGTGCTGCAACAAGACCCTCTCCAATTTCATCCACTTGTATCATTTCAAGAGCTAAAAGATTAATGATACTTCAGCATCCAGTACCTAATGCAAGTGTAGAGGTGCCAAGGTTTATCTTTCAACCCTTGAGACTCTTTGGCAATTACCAGGGTGCAGTACAGTACCATCCCACCAGCTGCAGTGCTCTCTGCTAACTCCCAGGTAAGGTGGAAATCCAGAGTAACGTGTTCCTGCTGGGAAGGACCAGAGAAACATGGGGAGGATGGGCTCCTTCCCCAGTACTAATCACTTTACACAGGGCTCAGATTTAAATGTGAAAAGTGCTTGTGAAAATACTTTCAGTAACATGAAAAATGTGCCTTTTTCTAAAATCACACCATATGTGCTTGCTTTTCTTGCACTTAAATACCAAGTCTTACACTCAGGCCTAATTTTTGACCCTTGCACTTTGTTTTGTAAATAGATTAATATGCCATAAAAAAGCACCCCGACTGCTAAAACAATGAATATTGATGGCACACAGGGATTTGCCTACATCACTCTGAGAAATGTAATGTTTATTGCAATAGCAGAAAATTTACTCAGGCCAGAGAGCAATCCAGTGATAGAAGTATTTTACCTGGCCTCTGGGGATTGGTCCCAGATCTTCAGCTGGGGCTGGAGGGCAAGAACCATGGAGAGAGCTGTCTCCTTGCCCCAGTCATGTCGCTCCTAAACTCCTGCTCTCAGCAATGAGAGCACATGCTTGACTACATCAGGATATTTTGCACATCTTTCTGAAACAGCCAGTGCTGCTGCAACCAACAGCAAGCCCAGACCCAGCAGTCATTTCTCGACTGATAAGGTTCTAAACATTACCTAATAGTTATTTTTCATCATCTTTTTTATTACTGGATTTGCAAACTTGACATTGAATTTTCTTTAATCAATTAATATCACAAACTTTCCTTGTATTTAGCAACATATATATGTATAGAAGAAAAATTATTTCCCTGACTCAACTCTGGAGAAATTCCCATAATACTGAGTTTCTTGATGGGGGGGCTGCTTTTTCATTTGTAAAAGCAGCAGAAGTTTTTGCTGTTATGGGATCTTTTGGTAGATGGGGAATGGATGTGTAATTTTTGGGGTAGTCATGTGCAGAGCCAGGAGCTGAACTCAGTGATCCTTGTGGGTCCCTTCCAACTCAGGATATTCTATGATTCTAGCAATAAACTGCAAATGAGCATTTTGGAAACTGTTTTACTTAAACATTTCATATTTTCCTTGACCTTGGTAGCTTTGGGACTATCACCACTAATCCAGCAGCATTTAAGAACTCCCTACACCTGCAAAGTTGTAATCTGCTGATGCACGAGCAGAGATCACATCTTTGGAAGCCAACACATTTCTAATGAATGATGGAATGTAACTGACTCATGGTCTCAGAGCTGGTCGTTTGGCTGGATTAATCCTCCAGGAGTCTCTCGTGACACCGCTAAGTAGCGCTCACATCTAAGTGCAATTTCTCTCCCCAGCAGGCAGCCTTTGCACTCACACCTCTGTTTTTTCCTGGCTTAGGAGGTGCAAAGAGTGAATCTACTGCTCCATCTATTTAAAATGTCCAGAGCCTCCAAAACTCACATCATCCCGGCATATCCAGAACACTTTGTGCCTCAAATCATACTCACTGTAGTGTATTTTCCCAGCTGGCAGAGCGAGGGGAAGGTTTCCTGGTGAGCTTTTCGGATCTTCTCAGTGAGATCATCTAACTCTGCTGTCATTTCATAGTTTTCTGTGGACTCCTGCTTTGAAGGTTCCTTCTTCTTTTTGTTCCTGTCATTTCTGACAGCTGTAAGAAAAGCAGAGATACAGGTCACGTGGGGTAATTTGGATCAACCTATGTTGCTCTTGCTGCTCTATTTCAAATCACTGTAAAATGCTGCTATTTTAAAAACACATTATTTTAGGTGAATATAAAAATGTTATATGCACAGAGGACACTAACTCCAGCTTACTCATTTAAAAATAATTTAAGAACTAAATGTAGTGAGCAGTGATGAAACCAAACTTCCACAGGGGTTTGTTGTGGGTGTGCCATCACAATCCCATGGTATCTGCCTTTCAGGAAAGTCTACTGCAACTTCATATGCACAGTGTCTCAGTAACCTTGGGAGGTGGGATTTTTTTCATTGTAGAACTACAATTGTGCACGGAGGATGGCAAAGTCCTCTGTAGTGAAGCAGTCACTATTTTATTGGATGTGAACAACACTAAAAAAAGACAGCAACTGTCTTTCTTCTTAAATACATCAGCATGGAAGATAACCAAAGCTCCATACTAATACAAACTCCACCAAACAGAAGTTATTTAAAAGGAAAGTTAAATGTGAAAACAGTAAACAAAAGAAGATGAAACACGTTAAAGCCATGTTCTGAAGATCAAAGGAGAAGCACAAACACTTGAAAGAGAAAAAATGGCAGTGAAGCTATCTAAAGTTGCTTGCCATCTGCTTCTGCACTCAGATCAGCCTTCTACCTTCCCCCGGCCGTGGGGGATTACTGGAAATATGCATTGTGCTCACTCGTGCTGTAATTGATTTCCCACATATTTGTGTTTTGTAATAAAATATGACAGCTGCTCCATCACCATGCTGCTCTTTGTTCTTTTAATGAAAATAGCTTAATTTTACAAAACGTGCCCAGGAGATAAGTCCATGTCCGCAGTATTGCCAGTAATTGTGAATTTTATCAAGAGTCTTGCTGTTAGCTAAAGCTAACGTCTTAAGTGTAACCAGATGCATAAGGCTTTACAACAAAGCCAAGCAAAATCAATCCCTCTCCCCAAAGACTCCATGTCAATATTAAACACCCTGAAGACTAAATCTTACTGGATAAATAAAACCCATCTTAACACTGTTAGTATTCAAAACCTCATGATATTTAATACAAGGCCCTAAACTCGGAGGGTGCAGCTGGTGGGTTTGGCATATGTGAGCATGGCTAGGGATTTGGGATGGCCAAAGACCTGCTGATTCTTATTTGTACTGTCCTGCCCCAGGAAGTGCATCTATCTGTGCCACAGGGGGGGAAGCACAAAGCCACCTCCATGCCAGCTCTTCTTCCCTGTGGGTTCCCCAGGCCCATCTCCACATCTTCTGTGGTCGCTTCCTACATGCCAGTGAACCACAATAATCATAAAGAGCAGAAAAAATAGTGGGCTGGAAAAGCATCAGACTCAGAGGCATCTATAGAAATAACACATTTTGTGTAACAGAAAACAAGGAGCAGAGATGTGGAGAACATTGTTTCTCCTTCACAAGGCCATTAGGCACACAGAATCTATGGCTCTGGTCTTCTCACTAAAGGTCTGAATTTGCAACTGAGAGAATTCTGACACCAGTCATTCACATTTTAAGCATGAACTTGACTTAACTGTGTGACAGACCCTCACTGCAGTCAGTCATGGGCTTGGCTGGATCAGGGCTGGAATGCTGACCACCCCACTGGATTGAAACCTAACCTTGAACACCATCAATTTTGGTGTTTGGAGAACACAGACCCAAAGGAGACCAGCAAGAGTGGACCAAAAAGGTTATTCCTTGCAAAGGTACAATGCTACCAGTGTAGTCAGGTTTAGGGGGATAGACTGGTGCCTCCCCACTTTTTACAAGTTTTCCCCTCAAGCAAATGCTCTGATTTGTTTGCTGGACCCCAGGACAGAGCACAAGCACCATGTTTAGCACTGAGAAACATCCAAGACCCAGAGCAATGTCTCAAGTGCTGCAAACTGCCACTGCACTTCAGAAACAAATCCTAATCACTGCTGTACCTGGGAGATAAAAGAGTTCCTTAGAAAATTCTGTAAACTCCTACACAACCACAAAGAGCAATAAACCTTTGTCACAAAGCCCCACTTACTTACACCTCTACAAGCTGATTGACAAATTTGCCTCAACAACTACTTCTCTCAACAGGTTTTGAACTCCTCAAAGAAGATGAACATTATTCAGGCCAGGCTTCGAAGCAGGTGCCAAAGGCTCCCAGAGACCAAGAGATTACTCTGGCAGGAACCCTGCCATGCTCCTTTGCTACCCCAGCACTGCTCCTTCTGCAGTGTACCTGAAATTCCTTTCCCTCCAAAGGCCACCAGAGGGACAGCTGCTGATCAGTCCTCATCACCAAATTGGCCCAGCTCTGTCCTCTTTCTCTTTTGGTGCAAATCAGAGGGTAGAAATGGGAGAAGCAACACAGCCTGAAAACATTTTTTGTTCCTCATTAACTTTCTTATATGATTCTGACGGCTTTTAAAATAATGAAAATCCAGAATAATATATATCTTCTTACTTTATTCATTAAGACTGCATCAGACATGTCAGTGTTTCCATATTCCCTGTAAGATAATGGATTAAAGTGCTGACGTATAATACCCAAACTCCAAAAATATAAAGCATTTCAATAACACCGAACTATTGGGCATCTGCAGACATGTCAGTGTTTCCATATTCCCTGTAAGATAATGGATTAAAGTGCTGACGTATAATACCCAAACTCCAAAAATATAAAGCATTTCAATAACACCGAACTATTGGGCAGATTTAACTACTGTTATAAATCAACATGCAAAAAAGAAAACAAAAAAAAGAGAAAGACCTTAAGACAACACTATGTTTAAAAGAGTTAAATAAAAACATATAAACACACACACACACACACATTTACGCAGTAAATGGAAAAACCATCACTGCTCTGGGAACAGGAACTGTCACACCGCATGTGGGAAGGGTTTTGGATTACAGCTTATGCTTATATTACATAAATCACACCTTTTGGTATCTTGATCTTTACATGCATATGATCACATCAATCCCCGATGCAATTCCACTGCCTTTTAATGATGATATGCCAGTGATGAATCTGTGTCACAGTTAATGCTGCCATAGAAAACTCAGGTTATGAATTTCATTACTTGTGCACTAAATTCTGACTTGATGGCTGCATTAATTAGAAGCTCCCAACAGGGGACAGTATAGAAGCTCTCTTGCCCTATGAGAACTCTTGGAAGTTAAAGAAAAATAAGTAAGGTGGTAGCGTGGGGAAGGAGAATGAAAAGAGGTGTATCTTGATACGTGAGGAAGCCAGGTCTTGGCACGTCTCAGAAGGCTGAGTGACACACGCCCACACCTGTGCACGTCTGCTTCAATCTATCTTCCTGTGACAGCTTCCCTGTCCCCTTGACACACAGGCCAGGACTTGCACTTCCACACCCAGAAACCCCCAGGCAGCCACAGCAGGGTTTGCAAGCTGGCAAAGATACTTGCTGTTGCCTTAAGAACCAGCCCCTACCTTCAGATGTTCAGCCTCCTCCCTGATGGTAGGGAGGCAGAACATAACATCTTGTCCTGCTCAATCTGTTCTCCTCACCCCAGGATTGCCATTGCTTTTTCCTTAGCCTCAGATACACTTTCTCTTTTCTGCTCCTAGTGATGGACAGGGCACAAAAATTGCATGCAGGTTATATGCATTCTTCAAGGAAAGCAGGGCCTGCTGTAGATGGAACTGAGTATAGAGAAGACACAAAAAGCTTCTCTTGGAGAACCCCAGTGCTCTCATTTAATAACCTTGCAGCAATTCTGCTGCCTGAATGGGGTCATTTCAAGCATGTTCTAATGCAGGGAATCGTCCAGTCTTAAACACAAACCCCTCAGGTCCACCCAACTTAGCCACTGTTTGGCTAAGGATAGCTGGGATCCACTCCATGAGATTTAGACAGTTTCTAGACAGTCAGGTAAAATCATGGAATAGTGAATATTTGTACATCCATTTGTCAAAGGTGGCACAAATTCCACATTCCACAAAGGTGCACAATTCCACTCACAGTGCAATTTTTCCTACTACTTGCACAACCTGCGCTTCCCCAGATATCCAGAAGATACACAGACAGCTCCTTTCATGTATTAAAATGATTAATCAGCTATAAATTCATGATTTGAAATGCTATCACTGCAGTTTTGCCTCTTGGAGATCCCCGTGACCTTTGAAGAGCTCTGTGTACTAGTTAGCTGGTTTTGTTCCTGTAGCAACAACTACTAGTGCTTCCAGTCAGTTTGCATTCCTGTAAAACCACACTTCTCTTGTCCCCAAATATTTTGGAAGTTACTCGTTAAGCTAACAAACCTCAAAAGCACCATAAAGCACACAGAGCAAGTCAGTAATTGCACAGTGCTGGGCACAAGGTCGGTCTGCAAAAAGACTCCTTTTGTTTGTAAAACCCAGTGAGAAGAGAAGTGAGAGGTGAACTGAGGTAGGAACGCTGCAGACCTGCCAGTTCTCCCTTCTGGGCAGAGGCTCACTGTCCTGCCTGTCCTCCTGCTCCTTGGGAAGCCACCTGTCCCTGTCTGAACACCAGGCAGCCTGGGCAGGGCGATGGCAGCCGTGGGGCCGATCCCCAGCACTGCAGCTGGGAAATCCAGCAGCACCAAGCTGTTTGCTAGGGTGGAAACCTTGCACAGTTCCTCCACGCTCTTGCTTCTCCAACTCCAGAGGCAGCTGCTAAAAAAATTCTAATTCTGGCAGAAGTTAGCAGCTGTGGCCAATTTCAGTCAAAATATTTCAGTCAAATAAGCAAAATGCTTACTTACTGCCAATGCCAAGTGTGCTCCATCAGCTTAAATGCCCAACATATACCACACATTACTCTTCAACAAATTGTGTAAAATGGTATGGAATGGCAGTCCATAAGGGTGTCTTTCCCAACAGTCAACTTGGAAAATTTCAAACCAAGGGAGCCTTAGCAACCCTGCTGCTGCTGAACTAGCCTGTCTGATCCCATGGTCCAAAGAACACCCAACTT